TAATTCAAATAAACCAAGCACTTTCTTTTTTTAGAAATTTATTTAAAACTGAATATTTGTAATTTAAAATTTTAAAATGAGTTACATGAATATTTCAGTAAAAGATACAAAGATACACTAGCTTCTAAATTTAGAGTAGGTTTAAGGTAGAAAAAAATTTAATTTTTTAGCTTTTGTTTCATATTTTTCATGTTATTGGTTATTCATTCCAAAAAATAATTTTGTTATCCACTAATCATTTATTCAAGAATAAATTATTTAATGAAACTTGAAAGAATATGAAAAGTTTTTGGCTTTTTGCGCTATTTATTATTTATTTACTTTTGGTTGTTTTTGTTAAAAACTGAGAGGTATTTTATCTAATATCAGTTACTTATTATACTATTTAAGCAATTATATATATGATTTGTTGATTGGCTCTTAATATTTCAAAATAAGATAATGCTTGAACATTTTTAAATTTTATTTATAAAAGAAAATGGTCTTTTAATAAGTCTGGTATAGAAAGTTAATGTGAAAATGTTAACATCTCTTTATAGTCTTAAAATTTATTTTTTCTTACAGCAAAATTTGAGAAAATTTTTGCATCTAAGCTTCATTTATTTAGTTATCTATGTTATAAATTATATGTTAGTTTTGCTACTTTAAAATTATTGAGCAATTTATTTACTCATATTTTTACTGTTATGATGACATAAATAAATTTTAATGATAAATATTATTTAATTTAAAATAGAAAACTGATTTTATGGTCAATTACTTCAATGATAACTAACAATTTAAGTTCTAAGCTTATTTACTTCTATCTATTACTAAAGCTATGAATTGTTGTTTATTTTTCTTTCTTGCTTTATTTTACACGCATTAGTCAGCTGCTCATTTTATTCATTATGTCATTTTGCATAATTTCGTGATTAAGATGATGGCAAGTTGGATATTTAAATCTTATTTATAAAATGATCTAATAATTAATGCGTATTATTACAATTTTGATGAAAGAAAATTTTGATTTGTCAAATATTCTTTTTATAGATCATTTAATTATTTACATCAGGTTTTAACAAAAAATAAACATTTAAAAATTTAATTAATTTTGTTTATTTGCATATAATTAATTAATTCAACTTAATTTGTTAGAAGAAAAAAAATATTGAGATATTAAAAAATGAATATAATCAGCTAAAATCTAGTAGGATCCTAAGAAGCTAAATATAAGCTTGCTTTGCATCTTCAAAACAGGAAAAAAGTCAAAGAAATGTACAGAATGAAAGGTGTCTAAATGCTCGATAAGCCTGAGTTAGTCAGTAAAAAATATTTAAATTAAAAATCATTATTTATGAATGATTGTAAAAATAAAACTAAACCATCCATCCATTAATAATACCCTCCCTGTCTTAGTTCTAATCAAATTTTATCTTCATTTTAACAAAAGTTTCTGATATCTAAGAACCTAAGTTAAAGCCTTAATAAGCTTTAATTTATTAGACTATGAAAAGCGAATTAACTAAAAAAGGCTACTCCGATTTTAGATTTTTAGGACAGGGAGTATAGGGATTAGTTTTGTTAGCAAAAGATACCAAAACTAATGTGAGGTATGCCATTAAAGGTGTTTAAGTTAGAGATCCACATGGAAATCTTGATCAAGATCTTAACAATCGAGTGAAACAAGAAGTAGAAATACTCACAAAATGTAGTGACTCTCCTTACGTAGTCAGTCTTATAGATTAATTTGAGGGATAACAATTTACTTACTTGGTTCTAACTGAGTGTTAAGGTACAAATAATAAATATTACTAATTTATTTTTAAATTAATAAATAAATTAATTAATTAATCAAACCCCTTAAATGAAAAATTTTAAAACAAAATTAAATGCTATAAATAAATAAAAAGGAACTCTCTCCTAAATTTTAGAAAGGAACTAAAACAAAAGACTGAATGAAATATCAGCAATCAAATATGCTAATGACATTGCTCAAGGTCTCTACTACATTCATTCTAAGAGCTGCCTTGTTAATGATCTGAAAATGGATAATATCTTAATTGATTATCATGGAAATGCAGTTGTTTGTAAATTTTTAACAAATATAAACAAGCTTGATTGATTTTCAATAAAATCTATTAAAAAGCTGATTTTGGTTTGGCAGATAACCTAATAAACAAATCTGGCTATGCTTTCAATCAATATGTATGAACTCATATTTTTATCATATTAAAGAGATATTCAAAAAATTAAAGATGGGAAACTTCTTGTATCAAGCACCAGAGTGTTTTGACCCAGCTGATCCATTCATAGGTAAGGTTTATCATGATGAATATTTAAAATTAGGCGTCACTGTGAGACAAGAGCCAAGCAACAGAGTAAATCTTTTATTTAATTTCTTTCTCTAAAAGCTAGTATTTTTTAATTAAACAGAGTGAAGCATGTTCTTTAGGTATTATATTAAATAAAAAATATACTATTTGTTTTTATTAACAAAATTATGAAAAAGGATATCTAATATATACACTTGTCTAGGGAATAGATTTCAAATTAGCATCAAATAAGCACAAACAGTTAAATTATGATGGTGAATTTAATAATTTTGTTTATCACAAATAGCTTAAATATATTATTGAAGGTTTAACTAATTTTATTCCAAAGAATAGAATGCCTATTAAGGAGGCATTAATTATTTTAAAGGGAATTATTTCTTTTGAATTTTAGTTAGATGAAATGCTTATTGAGATGATAGATGGAAACACTCAGCAGTTCACAAGTACACTCAAAAATGAAATTGAGTTTGTTAAAGATTTGTCAAATAAGTTTTACCCAATCATGTATGTATATTTGTTTATTCTAATCTACCTCTTTAGTTAAATTTTTTAAAGTAAAAATGAACAGTCCTTAAACTAAGAGTTAAAAGAAGACGATCAAAATAGATAATATGTTAATTAACTTATATATATTATTCAAAATATCCTAAATTTATTGAAAATAATTTGTAACAAAGGAGGCAAAAATAGAAGAATTATAGATAGCAAATATCTAACTTAAAGAAAGAATTAATGAATAAGAATTAACAATTAATGATTTATTCACCCAATTAGAATAATCTTAGAATTAGTTAATGAATTAACCTTAGATTTTGAAGATGCCAACAATGTAAATGAAGGACTAGTAAGATGTTATTTTTTCAGAAATTAAAAAATAGGAAAAGAAAGATGAATTGCCAAAAGAAAAAAACTAAATGTAAATTAATTATTAATATAAACTAATAAAAATATTATAAAAAAGGAAGTATATGCTTTTCATCAGTTAACTTCATAAAAAATTAATTAATTTTAAATTATAAAAAATAGCATGTAATTAATTCCTTTGATCAATTATCTATTAGCTAAAGAGTTATTATTCATTTAAAAAAACTGAATGGCTAATTATTTATTTAAATTTATAAAATATTAATAATCAATCTTCCCTTTAAATACTCCTTAGAAAGTAAATTACTTAAATTACTATTATTAATTTAATTTCATATTTCAATAGAAAAAATATTTATTATTTTTTAATTATTTTCTCCTTTTTTAAATTATCTTATCTTATTTTAGCACACAAAAAAAGATGTAATTTTACTTTAAGTCAATTTCAACATATCCAAAATTATTTTATTTAAAAGGAAGTAAATAACTTTGAAAATCATGATCATAAATTCATAGTCATATTCTTTTAGAGGGTTACATTTTTATCTATATCTATTACATAATTGATCTATTTCTCTAATATAGATTGTAATCAATCGCCCTTTCCTTAAAAATACTAAATTTACTTATATATTCAAAATAGCATGTAAAATTTTTATCAAAAAACACTCAAGTTAACTTTCATATTCAAAATAGCCAGTAATTAATTAATATTTTAGAATGATTTTTGATGAGAAAAGAAATGCTGAATTAACTAACTTTCATATTCAAAATAATAGATAGTAATTCATATTTTAGAATGATTTTTGATAAGAAAATAAATGCTGAATTAACTAACTTTCATATTCAAAATAGCACGTAATTAATATTTTTAAATAATTTTTGATGAGAAAATAAATGCTGTATTAACTAACTTTCATATTCAAAATAGCCAGTAATTAATATTTTAGAATTATTTTTGAAGAGAAAATAAATGCTGAATTAATTAACTTTCATATTCAAAATAGCCAGTAATTAATATTATAGAATTATTTTTAATGAGAAAATAAATGCTGAATTAACTGACTTTCATATTCAAAATAGGATGTAATTAATATTTTAGAATGATTTTTGATGAGAAAATAAATGCTGAATTAATAAACTTTCATATTCAAAACAGCTAGTAATTAATATTTTAGAATGATTATTGATGAGTAAATAAATGCTGAATTAACTAACTTTCACATTCAAAATAATAGATAGTAATTAATATTTTATAATGATTTTTAATGAGAAAAGAAATGCTGAATTAACTAACTTTCATATTCAAAATAATAGATAGTAACTAATATTTTAGAATCATTTTTGATGAGAAAATAAATGATGAATTAACTTTCATATTCAAAATAGGATGTAATTCATATTTTAGAATGATTTTTGATGAGAAAATAAATGCTGAATTAACTAACTTTCATATTTAAAATAGGATGTAATTAATATTTTAGAATGATTTTTGATGAGAAAATAAATGCTGAATTAACTTTCATATTCAAAATAGGATGTAATTAATATTTTAGAATGATTTTTGATGAGAAAATAAATGCTGAATTAACTAACTTTCATATCGAAAACAGCTAGTAATTAATATTTTAGAATGATTTTTGATGAGTAAATAAATGCTGAATTAACTAACTTTCATATTCAAAATAATAGATAGTAATTAATATTTTAGAATAATTTTTGATGAGAAAATAAATGCTGAATTAACTAACTTTCATATTCAAAATAATAAATAGATTGTAATTAATATTTTAGAATGATTTTTGATGAGAAA